GGTCCCAGGTCCCAGGCACCCAGGCCTGGTCCCGTAACGGGGCTTTGGCTGTGACAGGACTTTCACGTCAGCTTGGCACGGGGCTGGGGCCTTGCTTTGGGAGGTTTCCTGATGGGCTTCCCAAGGCTAACGCGAGCCCCTCCCCCTGCCTCAGGCCCAGGCAGAGATCACAGCACTGCGTCCCTGCCCCCATTCAGGGAAGAGCGCCTCCCCAGGGCCCCGCCCCCACAAAGCTTCCTCTCCTCATCCCCAACCTCCTGACCCCAACTGATGGCGAGCAGACCAGATGAAGGCAGCTTCCAGAGGCTGGGAGTGCCAGCGGAGACACACAGACATGCACGCGTGTGTGCACACCCGCACACACCCACGCACAGGCCCGAGAGGAAAAAAATCCCCAAAGCATCTGCTGGCTCAGAACCCGCCTATCTCAGGAATGTGTTGGATGATTTAAAACTGGCTTCGCTACATGGGGATTCCAGATGCTGGGACCCTGAAGTATCCTGGAATGTACTAGAACGAAGCATAAGGCATCCTGTCTTTTTGCCCACCCAACTCTGGTTGGGAGTCGCAGACTGAGGCCTGTCTACCTTGAGACAGGTTTGATCCAGAGATTCTGAGATTCCCATTCAGATCGGGGGCTGGGCCTGGATCCCCTCCCGAGTAAATGTCCACGCGCCAGGTCAGAGCGGCCAGCCCAGCCCCTGGAGGAGGCTGTGAGGACAGGTCCCTGGAGGCCTTGACATTGAGCTGCTGGGGGCTTCAGAGGTGGGAGTATCCCAACACCGGAGACACTCTGCCCAGATCCCTATGGAACCTTCCCTCTGGGGCTCATGGGAGGAGCCTCTCAGGGCCACTGATTGGCAACAAGCAAGAATCACCGAATGTTGGCATCACGAGCCCTAAACGTGGAGCAGGCCAGCAAGTTCCAGGACCGCCGCACCGCCCCCCCCACCCCCCAACCAACGAATGGCTGATAACTTCTCTGGGTTTGTCAGCATAAGAAGAGAACGTCTGCCCTGAGGTTCTCTGCACCGAGAACCAGCTACAGTGGAGCACAAGGTCAGGTATGCTCAGGTTGCCTGCCTTAGTTTCCCCTTACTGCCCCCAGACCGCCCACTCCAGGGGCTTCCCCGAAAGGGACAAGGGAGAAGGAGTGCAGGAGGCAAGCACGCTCCCCCGCCTGGAGACAGACATTTAACTGGTCTGGCCACGACCCCAGTGCAGAGCACGCCAGGCAAGAAAGGCTAAGAGGCGCCATCATGAGTGCTGAGCTGCCCTGAGCACCGCCTGGAGGAGAATTCTGATGCCGCACCATGCTGCAGTTGATTGGTAATGTCTGCTGTGGTCACAGGTATTCACCATCCCTGATCTAAAGCTGGGTGACTCCCTGAACAGGGCGGGATTCCCCAGCCAGGACTTTGGTAGCAGAGGAGGCCCTGGCCGGCCGGGTACAAACAACCCACTGACTCCCTAACAGATTTCTGAGGACCTTAAGGAGCACATATTGGCCCAGGGTCCCCCCCAGTTTGCCAGGACAATGTCTGCTCCCTTTTCTGAAGACATTAATGTTGTCTGTATTAGGAAACGCTTGCCTAGAATAGAAACACATTACAGGGTTAACTTCTCCTCTGTAAATATGACTAAATGTGTTCTTTCTCACCTGGGACCCTAAGGACGTTCTGGCTGTTACCAACCAGAAGTAGCCTCAGACCCATCAAAAGCTCTGCCCGTGGACACGCAGACGGGCCTGGGTGCTGTGCTCTGGACCAACGTTCACAGAAACACTTCCCATGATGCTCTGCCCCGTGCAGTCTGGGCCACCTCATTTGGACACCTTGGTCTGCAGGGTGCTGGGCAGATAGAGGTACCTCCAGATGGCATAGTAGTGGGTGCCAGCACCAAATGCCACAAAGAGATGCCAGATGGCGTGGGCAAAGGGGATCCTCCCGTCACTCTTGAAGAACACCATGCCCAAGCAGTAGAAGACCCCTCCGGTCATCAGCTCCCAAATGCCCTCGGTGTTGGGCTGTCGGCAAGAACAAGGGTGGGGTGCAGGTCAGAAGAGCAGGCAGCAGGGCCGGGAGCACCCCACCATCCCCCCTCCCACCCAACGAAAAGAGACGTGCATGGTGAGCCTCCCCAGATTCCCGGGAAGGGTGTCCCCACATGTGCTGTCAATTCCCCCCAGATTAATTCTCAAATGTCACTCGGTTCTATCAAAATCCCAAAGAATATTCTACCGTCTATCTTTTCTAAAAATTAACACATCTGGGTATACACCCAAAAGAAGTGAAGGCAAGGACTTGAACAGATACGTGTACAGCCAGGTTCACAACAGGCAAAGCGTGGAAGCAACCACACGTCCATCCACGGATGAATGGATAAATGAACCACTGTTCTTGTCAGTTCATGCAATGGACTATCTCACTCCGAGCTAACAAGGAAGGAAACTCTGACAGCTGCTACCACATGGATGAACCTGGGGGACGTGATGCCGAGTGGCATAAGCCAGACACAGAAGGAGGAACACCGCAGGATGCCACGCATATAAGGTCCCAGGACTTCATCAAATGCATGGAGGCAAGAAGTAGAATGGAGGTGACCAGGGGCTGGGGGAGGAGGAACAAGGGAGTCAGTGTCTAACGGGGACAGAGGTTCAGTTAGGGAAGATGAGAAGGTTCTGGACATGGACGGTGGCGACAGATCCACAATAACGTGAATGTGCTTAACGCCACTGAACTGTATACTTAAAACGGCTAAAATCATAAATTTTATGTATATTTTATCACAATTTTTTAAAAAGTAATACATGTCCATGGTGAAACATTTTAGAGAAATCAAACCAAAAATACGAAGAGAAAAGTAGTGAGGGCACCTGGACGGCTTAGTGGGTTAAGCGTCTGACTCTTGATTTCGGCTCGGGTCATAATCTCACGGTCCATGGGATCGAGCCCCGTGCCGGGCTCTGCACGGACAGCACGGGGCCTGCTTGGGATTCTGTCTCCCTCTCTCTCTCCGCCCCTCCCCCACTAGTGCGCGTGCTCTCTCTCTCGCTCTCTCAAAATAAATAAACTGAAAAAGAAAAGTAGCAGTCCCAGCCTTCAGAGATGAGCACTATTAACAATGGAGTCGTTCGTGGTTAAAGGAACAGCAGAGACTGCGTGAGAACTTGCCACGCCACCCCCCATGCCCCTGGGTCCACTTTTACACGCATTACAGGCTACCGCTGTTAACAGTGCTTTACGGTATCCTTCCAGAAACGTTCTCTCCACGTGCAATACGCAACATGCACTTCATACGTATGTACTATGCACAGGAACGGGTCTTTCTCGATCATTCCAGATAAACGGGCTCACGCCATCCCCACCATGCTGTGACTCCATGCTGGATTCACTCCTCTGCTGGGGATCGGTCTGCATTCCCACAGCGGGAGCCATCTCCATTCTTTTCAGCCGCTGCGGAGCATCCCGGGGGATGCACGTCCGCCAGTGTACGTGCTCAGTCCTCGAGAGTGTGGTGCCTCCCAGTACTTGCCACGTGCGGGGCACTGCATGAACGGCCTCGGTGGGTTATCTGACGCCACCTTCACAACGTCCTCATGAGGCGGGTGTCACTCTATATGGCGGTCACGGAAACACGCCCACGACACGTGGTAAGCGAGCAAAGCACACTGCAGAGCAGCACATTTCGTGTCACCTCGTCTTTTTAGAAGAAAGCCAAGTCAGCGTGTCTGCAAAGCCACGTGGACTTGCATGTAAATAAATAGAAAGGACACACAGCAACCAGAATGGGGGTTGCAGCTGGGGCGGGATATTGGGAGAAGGCAGAAGGCGGCTTTGGCTCGTCCACATACTTTCAGACTCATTTTTTGCAGTGACTATGTGTTTAAATATATGCTTACCAATATACAAGTATATAAGTACTTAAATGTATGCAAATATACATGTACTTAAATATGCAATACATAAGTTGATGGATACTGTATAATTTAATATTTATTCGTCATTCATAAAATTTAAAACATTTTTAATAAATTTAAATGAGTCTAAAAATTTGAAAATATGTATTTAATATACATTATATCATGTAATATTTAATATATTTCATAAAATTTGTAAGAATTTGAAAATAAATTCAAATACAATTTTTTTTTTTTTAAATTTTTTTTAACGTTTTTATTTATTTTTGGGACAGAGAGAGACAGAGCATGAACGGGGGAGGGGCAGAGAGAGAGGGAGACACAGAATCGGAAACAGGCTCCAGGCTCTGAGCCATCAGCCCAGAGCCTGACGCGGGGCTCGAACTCACGGACCGCGAGATCGTGACCTGGCTGAAGTCGGATGCTTAACCGACTGCGCCACCCAGGCGCCCCTCAAATACAATTTTTTAACAAATTTTTTAATTTGAAAATACTTATTGAATATAAATTGTACAATGCAATCTAATAAAATTCATTAAAATTTTGAAAGAAATTTAGTAGCTTTAAATTAAAAACATTTCATAGAAATTATAAAAATGTTATGTTTAATATACTTCATAAATTTTTAAAAATTTTAAAAAGTAAATTTAAATTTTTCTTTATTTTTTTAATATAATTCATTGTCAAGTTAGCTGACATACAGTGTATACAGCATGCTCTTGGCTTCAGGAATAGATTCTCACGATTCATTGCTTACATACAACAAACACCCAATGCTCATCCTGACACGTGCCCTCCTCAATGCCCATCACCCATTTTTTAAACATAAATTTAAATTTCTTTAATTCAAAAACTTTTTTGGTAATATAAATTATACAGTGTAATATTTAGTTTAATATAATTCATACTTTTTTTTTAACTTTTATTTATTTTGAGAGAGAGAGAGCATGAGCAGGGGAACAGCAGACAGAGGGAGAAGAGAGAATCCCAAGCAGGCTCTGTGCTGACAGCCTCAGATGCAGGGCTCAAACTCACAGACCATGAGATCATGACCCGAGCCTAAATCAAGGGTCGGACTGAGCCACCCAGTCACCCCTAATTCATAAAATTTTTTAAATAAGTTTAAATATTAAAATTTTTTTTATTTTAAAATATTTAATATAAAATACACAGTGTAATACTTAATATACTTCATAAGATTTTTAAAAATTTAAGAATACATTTAAAGTACGTTTAAGATTTTTAAAACTTTAAAAATATTTATTTAATATAAATTATATAGTGTAATATTTAATTTAATACACTTCATAAACTTTTTTTAAATTTAAAAAGCAATTTAAATAATTTAACTTTAGAAACTTAAAAATATTTAATATGAATTACATAATTTAATATTTAATAGATAACTTAAATATACGTACTTAAATGAAAATAAACTTGGAGGGGGGGAAAAAGCATAAGAATAAATACAAATCATCGGGAAAATGCTGAGCAGGAGGACTAATGGGGCCACGGATTAAAACGCAATTAAGCTACACTAAGTAAAATGGTCTGGTGCCAGGATAGAGACAGTCCCCTTGATGAAACAGAATTGAAATCTCGGAAGCAGACGCACATATATGCATGAATTTAACAGCTTCACACAGCGGTTTTCAACGGCAGATAATGGACATCACTGGCTAAGTATTCGGGGAGGAATCACCACGTACGGGAGAAACAAGAGTTAGAAGATACCTATTAAAGGTTAAAGCACAAAAGAAACAGGAGAAAATACGGGTGACTGTTATCCCTCAACTTGGGGAAAGGAAGACCTTCCTAACCATAACGCTTAGGATAAAACCCATACAATTTAAAAAACAAACCAACCAACCTGTGAGATTTCACTGAATATCCTTTTGACATCAACCAACAATAACAGTATAAAAATAAACTGTTACTTGGCCTAGGGAGGGTACCGGGCAGGCTGAATTTACTGTGCCCACCTCACAGATGGGGCAACTGAGGGTCAGGGAGGAGACAGGGTCCATGCACGGCCACCAGCTTCTTCTCTTCCTGGGCGGGGGCCTCAGTCCTCTCCCTGCAAGGCTCTGCCCCTCACAGGCTGGGCAAAGCTACCCGGAGATCCTATGTCCCACAGTCTGAGGTTATGGGGGTACACCCTGGCCTGGCCACTCAGGGGCCACAAAAGCGCTGCCGGCTGCATCCCCTCTCGGTGTCCCATCTCCAGTGACGCCCGGGGCAAGAACGCTGGATCCTGTGGGTACGCCTCCCGCGCTCCATATGGGCTCAGAAAGTGTGCAGTGAGGGAACCTGGTTGCCCTTTCTGGGCTTGGTTTGGGAGCTTAGGATGTGGCAACACCAAAGGGGGTAATCATTAAGTCCTGAACCTCGGCTCTGCCTCCGTGCCCAGGGATGTTATTATACAGATTTAATTTAGCAACTGGGTACTACGTCCCACGCACCATTCTAATCCCTCTCCGTGGGATTTAATCCTTAAACACACAGCAGGGGTGAAGCGTGGAGGGTCACAGCTCACTGGAGGTTGGGCAGAGTCGGTGCTGCAGAGCCGAGGAGTCGAGCCCCCCCCCCCCCCCCCCAGGATTAAGCCACATGCTCTTCGGCCCCTCTAGACCTCACTCTGCCCGTGTGCCAGAGGAGGGGCTCCGACTGGACAACCCCGAGAGTCACCCCGGGTCCCTCTGGCCAGCCGGGAGCCCCCAGGCCGGGTGGGTGGTACTTACCATTGAGAGGATGACCAGGGCGGGGAAGAAGCCCATGATAACATAGCAGAGCAGCTCCACGAGCTTGTACCTGGCGGGAAGACAAGCCATCTGGGCCTCGGGACAGCGTAAGGCTGCCCGTGCTGGGTAGGAGGGGACCCCTGACCGAGTGAGGAGGACTCCACCCTCTGCCCAGCACTCCTCGGCTCAGATGCCACCCAGCTACACGCAGCAGGTGCTGGCGGAACTCGGTGGTCCTGGTTTCCGCCCTCGCGAGGACAGGCCAGGATTGCCAATGCTGAGTGTGGCACGCGTGTGGGCGCTTGCCACGCTCCAGCCCGGACGGTCATTACCATGTCATCTGAGCACCTCCTCCCGCTGGGCCCAAGCAGCCGCCTTCCATCCACCCGAGTGGCCACATCGACTGACACCTGCGTGCCAGGAAGTCAACTGTTCCCTTTTGCTTCTCTGTTTCTTTCCTCACCTGACAACAGGACGAAGTAAGGGGAGTCCCGTCATCTGCTAACCCGGTTTAGGGAAGGTGGGCAGCACGTGACCCACAGGGCCTTTTCAAAAACTTCTTCAGATTGACCCTACAGGCTGTGGCCTTGGGGCCATCCACGGGCCCGAGCCCCAGGATGTCAGGCAGAGCAGTGCCGTCACGCTTCGGAGTCATCTTGGGGGGGTCTCATCTCCCCAGGAGCAGAGAGGAGGCCCCGCCTCCCCTGGGCTCCCACTCCCGCCCCCGCCCCCCCAGCCCTGGCTTACCGCTCATGGAAGAAGAAGACATAGACGGTGCCCACAGAGGCCATGATCCAGACCAGCCAACGCATATGCGAGGCCCAGGGGCCCAGCTCCCGAAGGTTCAACCTGGGAGAGAGCCGAGGGCACAGCCTGAGGGGGGTTCCTCCCTTCCCTGCCACAGGAAGGCTGACCCCAGAGAAAGCCTGTGCCCTAAGGCTCCCCAGATGGGCCATGGGCTGTCATGGAAAAACCCAAGAAACGCTGTTTGGTACGTGCACACGGCTCAGAAAGGACATTCATCACAGCACGGACCACACAGGAAGAGCCAGAAGGTACCCAAATGTCTGCCAGGAGGGGAAGGGGGACTGGTTGGTTATCAACTTCCTGCCTCTCAGCTCCAAACCCCCACTTTCTGCCTGCTCCGAGATAACGGAGACAAGGGAGCCGGACCGAGTCCGTTCTTCCCCGGCCGCAGGCTCGATGCTGGGCTTTGTCGGGGAGTGCAGTGAAGACGCTTCGCAGGAGGAAAGGCTCTTCCTTCCGGACCCCTGCGGTCCTCCCACCACATTCCCTGGGGAGCAGGCTTTTCTCCCCACTGTTCGGCCAGGCTGTTTCCCCAGGGCGAGCTGCCTGGCGGGGCACGGCTTTCTCCAGCACTTGGCCTCAGCTGTTCTCCAGGTGTTGACCTGGGTGCCGGCGGTACAGCGGCAGGGCCCGGATGCTGCAGGCCCGTGGCCCAGGCCCAGGCTCCCCGCACGCTGTCTTCAGCCCCACACACCTGCACACGGGGCTCCCTCCCCCGTCAGGGACTCCCGTCCAGCAGTCTGACCTTCACCCTGAGCAGCTGTCTGCACGACTGAACCGCACCGAAACGCTCTAGGTTCCTGCAAGGGCCTCTCTAGCTGCTGGTTCCAGGAGCACCCAGCAAACAGCAGCTTCCCCGGCACGGAGCAAGTGCTGAAGCTCGGTACCTCCTGTGGCTGGCCTCCCCCGGCACCCCAGAGGGCTGATTTCCAGCAAGCCGCACCCACAGGCCCCTCAGGAGCTTCTCTGCCATCCCGTGCGCAAAGACCTTTTTGGGGTGCCTGGGTGGCTCAGTTGGTTAAGCGACTTCGGCTCAGGTGATGATCTCACGGTTCGTGAGTTCAAGCCCTGCATCGGGCTCTGTGCTGATAGCTCAGAACCCGGAGCCTGCTTCGGATTCTGTGCCTCCCTCTTTCTCTCTGCCCTTCCTCTGCCTGTGCTCTTGCTAACTCTGTCTCTCTCTCTCTCTCAAAAACAAACAAACATTAAAAAAAAAAAAAAAAGACCAGACCCTTTCCAATGAGGTGGGAGGTCTGCCCTGGACAGAGGGACAGGTCCATAGTTGTCCCTTGTATCTGCCGCTCCTGGCTTCTCTGGATTTGTCACGGACGCTGGTTAACCAATTCTCCACTATTCCAATCTCCTATTATTAATTCTTTATACCAAATTATCCGTCAGAGCGGTTTGAAAATAGAACCATTTGCAACTAGGTGCATACATCTCCAAGGCATGCTGGCAGGTGTTGGGGCGGGGAGCAAGTGGAGAACAGCAGGGCTGTATTATCTGCACATGTGAAGACAGACCTGTAAATGCACAGACACTGACCCGAGTCCCTTGTCGACGGGGACGCGGGAGCTCCATCTAGAAAGGGGCAGTCAATGATGGTCGTGGTTTGGCGGGGGGGTGGGGGGAGTGCAGAGGGGTCCTTTCACTTTTTTCTCGACTGAATTTCTTGAGTGAGAATACCTTATGTAAAACCTCTGCCCTCCCTGTCCCCACAAAAAAGCAAGTGGCTCAGAATCCATCTGTCATTATAAAGAAGTTAAGTGGATGTCCATCGACTGACAAATGGATAAAGAAAAGGTGGTAAATACACAGGAACATTACCCGGAGATCCAAAAGATTGACACCTTACCATTTGCAACAACGTGGATGGAACTAGAGTGTATGTATTATGTTTAGCGAAATAGACAAAGACACGTGCGATTTCACTCACATGTGGAATTTAAGAAACAAAACAGAGGAACACAGGGCAAGGGAAGGAAAAATAAGATAAACACAGGGAGGGGGACAAACCACAAGAGACTCTTAAATACAGAGAACAAACTGAGGGTTGCTGGAGGGGAGAGGGGTGGGGGATGGGCTAAATGGGCAAGGGACATCAAGGAGGGCACTTGTTGGAATCAGCACCGGGGGTTATATGTAAGTGACACATCATTAAATTCTATTCCTGAAATCTTACTACACTATATATTAACTTAGATTTAAATTAAAAAAAAAAAGTTAAGTCGGGGCACCTTGGGTGGCTCAGTCAGTTAAACATCCCGACTCTTGGCTTCGACTCAGGTCACCATCTCGGGGTCGTGAGATTGAGCCCCCAATCGGGCTCCGCACTGGGCACGGAGTCTGCTTTAGATTCTTTCTCTCCCTCTACCGCTTACCCTCTCTCTCAAATAAATAAACAACAACAAAAAAGAAGTTATACTAAAAACCTTAAAGGTAAAAATAAATAAATGACTTGACTCATTACCCAAAAGAACCATCAGTGAAGATCTTTCTAGATCTGCAAACAGACACAACATAGGCCAATGGGTAGGAGAGTGATTAGAGATGGGATGGAGGGCGTGGGCGGGGGAAGGGATAGAAGGAGAATGGGCTAGTACGGAGGTCAAGGGCGAGGAAGGAGTGAACATCAACCACATTTTTTACTAAAATATCACAGAGAATTTCAACTTGACTTTAACAGAAGAAAATGAACCCTTCCCCCGCCTAAAAAAAATGTGCTGATGGGGCGCCTGGGTGGTGCAGTCGGTTAAGCGTCCGACTTCAGCCAGGTCACGATCTCGCGGTCCG